CCCCAAAACCCCAAAACCCCAAAACCCCAAAACCCCTATTTTATATCTAAAAATTGAAATGGCTTATATTCCAAGGTAAATAGTCCAGCTCAATTTTTCCATAGACTAGAAAATCTCAGTGCAAGAAGAACAATCAATAACTCTCAGTGGAGTAATAGAGCCAAACCAAAGGATCTTAAGTAAGTTATTTGGTCCTAATTTTTCGAAATTTGAGTCATTTGGTTATTCCTGGCCAATCTGATAGTTAAAACCTTCCTCTATTACCCTTAAGCTCCTTCAAAACTCGGTTGCAAGAAGTTCTCTATAGCCAAGACCTGATGAACATCTGTGATTATTCTACAACTCAAAAGGCAACTCGAAAAACTAAACATATAATCCAGAATAGCAAAATGATTAGCCAACGTATTTTTCATGCTCACCGAGGATCCTTGGAAAGCAAGAGTAATTCTTCCTTATAAAATGTAGTTAAAAAGCTCAAAAAGATGCAGCTTAAGACTGGGTTCTACATTCCTAACAAATTTAGTAAGCCAGTGCTCCTAACGCATAGATCCGGGAATTAAATTGAAAGTGTTCAACCCTCTCAGGATACACAAATCTACATCAGAACCTCGGATCGAAGACGAAAGCCTCTCTCCTGCAATGACTGTGAACAAGTCCATCAAGATAGCACTGAAGCAGAAGTACCTACTGTTCCAAGCCCCAGGGAGTAAATAAGGCTAAAATTACCTTTGAGTCTCCATTTCCAAGTAAATTTTCAAATATATTTGTAGAAAGAAGTTACAACATCAACCAGAAAGTCTTCTCATCAACTCGGCGAAGAGGTTTTGAAGGTTTCAGTGCTGAACCCTGAAATCGGAGTAAAAGAATCAGGATGTTCAAGAACATCAACGCTAAAGTAACCCGCTCCTCGTGTATTCTATAGAGCACCTACATTCATCAGGATAAAAGTGGCCAAAAGCCAATCAAAATGAAGAAGCAGGTGCTTGTCAAGAATAAGAACTTTTTCACCAGACTGAGTATGAGGAGGAAATTATCAACCTAAATATTCCTATGTCCCTTTTACACAACAAATTTTAGCTATTCATTTCTCGGGGTTGTGCAAGGGGTTTTGGGGTTTTGGGGTTTTGGGGTTTTGGGG